AATATGCAGCTAATCGAGTGAAACAGCATTAAGTTTAGTTGGTCCCGCTTTAGTCTTGAACTAGCATCGAAGTTACAGACCTGATATCTTTGCAACACAGTTATACCACTATGCGCCACTATCTAAGTTTGACACCTATCAATACTATCTGGTTTTCCAAACCAAGATTGGAGTACTTGGTTTGAACATCGAACTTAGTGACCGAAAGTCGAACGCCATCATCACTACTCCGTCAAAATGACCAAGTAAAATCTGATCGAGTGCAATCCAAATGACAAAATTTGAACTTGGTTGAAATGACTCAAGCAGTCTACTTACAATAAAGTGCAATGATATGTTTGCACGTGCTGTCCATAATAAAAGACTATTTTACATCCACTTATTAGTCATCTTATTTTACAGTTTCAGATTGCCAGTAATATGTTTTTACTATTTATGTAATAATCAGCTTTGTTCTAAAGTATAATAACTTAACCTTGACTATTTTTTGTCCGCTTTCTATCTATAAATAGTTTTAATCTCTGACATAAGTCCCTTTTTTATTTAAATGTCTTTAGTCTCACTTCGAGAGTTTTACAACCGACCTTTCAGCATTACCTATTAAGTGATTTCAATTGCAGATGACTGAAGCCTTATCGTAGGTAGATTATAATTGTTGATTTTGATGGAGAATATAAAATTTGGTAACTCTGTACATGCCTTTTCACTAAATTGAAACGATAGTTACCCAAGAAGATGTGGTAATGTAGATCCTAAAGTAAAACTTTATTAAGAAGGACATAAACTAGTATGGTATAGTCTATAAACCAAGTGTTTGTGTAACTCACCTTCAAGCAGTCCTTAAATCGGAATTCGGCAGCTAATTCTCTTCGTTTCTAGATGCATAGTGTTGCTATTAGAGTTGAAAGACATTTTAGTAACTTCCCATACTTTATTTTGTCTTTTGTGAGTTTATTGATTGATTCTCTAGTCTTTTCATGTGGGTACCACATAAATACGAATGATTTGATTTAAAATATAATCCTTCTCCAAGCTATGATAGGTAGAGCCATCATCAACGTAGGACTTGTCGGGAACGTGTTTTGGTTCAAGTGACCGCACAATTATTCATTTATTCACTACTCGTATCACACTTTTGTCAAATTTCTTGGCGTATTACGTCTTGCATTATTTGGATATAGCTTATCTAATTCTAGATACATTTATGACAAATTGTTGTAACACAATCGTTTACAAATTACACCTCAGTACTAACTTTCTTCATAGACGCTAGTTGTTGAAATCTGAATTATTTTATTGTCAGACGTTACGTGGTGAAATGTAGAGTTCACTATGTGTGAACTTTGAGGATTCAACAACTATAGCTACATTATTTATGCTTTGATCCCAATTATTCATGTTGATATTAAGTCATAAGATATCTAATACATCGAAATAAAATTTGAACTTTTATTTTCTTCACTTTTTATCATGCTAATTTGATTCAGGTAACTCCAACAGAAATTATCACGAATGAAGAAACCTCAAATATTTCCAGACTAGATAGTAACAGTATTACTCCAGATTTTAAACGTTTCTTTTCAACTCCGAATATTAAGGATAAACTATTCAACCAAGCAGTTAAATTTATTACCAAAGATGTTATTTCATTGTTATAGTTAATATCGAAGTGTGAGATTTACTTCAAATCATTCGGATATTTTACTAATGTTCATTGTCTGATTTAAATAGTGGATTGAATTAACTTTAGTATGATATGAAACAAAGGTCACTTAAATTTCCTTCTATTTTCAGACATCGAATTTCTTCGGAAATCTTCTGATGGAGATGATTATCAGTTTAACGCGAAATAAATTTGGTAGCTGCGTAATTGGTATTGTAAACAAAATTCAATTTCAAGAAAATGAATCAGCTAATCAAATTCTTCTTTTTATCAAACCACTTTCTTGGATTTAATCTATAGTTTATAAATTACATTTTCTAATATTTTCAGATTTCCATTTATTCCTACATACTTGAGAGAAAAAAAGTTACTGCACTCCGAAGGAATTAGGATTCAAAGTGAAATTCCCAGGTATCGATTTCTCCTAGAAAACCTACGATACATCATATCGGATTTATTCTCATTTCTGAATCTCTAGCAAAGTACGCATCTGCCGAAATTTATGTTGATAGATCTTCAAACAGAAGAGTACTGGTTTTACAAATACTACTAATTCCGATGATTCTTCATCAAAATGCAATTACTATTTTCTTTTCAATGAATCTATTATTCAGAATATATTTGTATGTAAATTTAAGCTAAATCTTTCACTTTGACTGATGGAATAATTAGAATGTTAGCAAGCGTTTGCCCTATAGAACAGACAGATACAACGCAGAACTTCGTACATAAGTACATCAGTTCACGTTGCCATACCACATCAGCACAGAGACGCAACTGTCACTTCAAATCCAAGAGTGATAGCAATAATAGAAGTATTAGCAGTAATGGAGAAGATTTGGGAGCGAACATATGATTCGAAGAGTATAATTCAGTAAGATAAATTTAGAAGGAGAAAGGTAGAGATTATGAGGAATTCAGAAGGTTAGAATTTCAGAGAACACAAAGAGTGGATGCACCTGCGCCGTTGCAAACGATTCTGAGCCATGTCGTTGAAGGTTTCTCTCTAACCATCGGTGACTTTCGTCTCGCGGACCCCAACCAGCTAGCCTACATCTACCAACATGACTCAGTCCACTTGTCAGTGACTTCATGGATTTGTGCCATGTTTTGGTTTGGCCGCCCCTAGGTTTCTTCCAATCTACTCCTACACTGCAAAACATATCTTGCCTTATAGAACAGTAATCAAACAAATATTTAAGCTATATAATCTTATGAAATTGACTTGACTTGTCCTTTATTTTGAATTTTCGAATTTCTTTTCTTAGCTGATTAGATTCGTATTACAATTCTTACTAGGAGTATGTGTACTAATCATATTTCATTTTCGCTATCCCGATAGTGTTTTATTATATTTTTGTCAATATTCCTATAAGATGTATTAATTTTTATTTTCTTTAACAAAAATAAATTAATAAAACCTTTTATTGTTCTCAATTTTTCATGTATGTTGTATGTTTGTTGTTTTATATTTGTATGCAAGAAAGGAAATGAAGTTGAGTTGTTTTTGCTGTTCAATTATTGTATTTAATTGATTATTGTTTAGAGTACATACCTTTTGTCGTATTTGTAATCGGTATGTTCATAAATGAATAGTGGTTTGTTGATTTATACTGAAACATTTCATTACATCCGATCACGACTTATTAGGAGAAATTAGGATTCCAGGTGAAATTATCAGCTATTGATTCCCTCTACAAACCCATGGTACGCGCTACCAGATTCATGCTCATTTCTGCATCTAGCAAAGTACCCATCTGCTAAAATTTATGTTGATAAATCTTCAAATAGAAGAGTACTGGTTTCACAAATGCTACTTATTCATTTGATTCTTGATCAAAATTCAATTTAGTAAACAAATTGAATTATATTATCTATTGTCAGTTTTATTACTGTGTATTTTCGTATGGTTCCTTGTTTAGTGGATTTAATCATCAGGATAATAAATTTTTTGTTTACCTTGTCATTAGGAAAATGAACTGCAATGGTTGCTTTTTATTTGTATTGATGTACTCTCGAATATCGAATTCTACGAGGTTTCGTAATCATCTAAATGCACTCTTCAATTGGTATTGGCGTCCACCTATAGTTGTCTTCCTGGACCTTAAAGCAGCATTTGACTCTGTTGATCGTGAGGTTCTGTGGCAGTATCTGTCATTAAAAAATGTACCAGAAAAGTAAAATAACCTTATAAAAGCTCTATTCGAATACTACAGGTTGAGTTAGAGCTTATGGAGAACTGGTATCGGAATTGATTACTTCAAGTGGTGTTTGTCAGGGTTGTCCACTCTCTCCATTCTTATTCAACTTTGCCATTTACACGCTTTTAGAAACAACACTTTCATCGTATGATTTTTCAGAAGTTTATTTCACTAGATTCTGATTCTTGAACCCTAAAATTTCAGATTACTGCTAATTCTTCTACTATCTCTACTACTATGAGATTTGAAGTGATAAATGCATCTCTGTGCTAGTGTGATATGATAACTTGAACTGATGTACGTACGTACCAAGTTCTATGTTGCTGTTGTTGACTGACTGACTGACTGACTGAATGGATTCAACTGCTGTATTCAAAAACTGAATGTGGTCGACATTCTATACTTAGTCTGAATGGGAGGTATGAAGAGATGTTAGGTGTATTTGCATCATAGTTTATGTACAGAAATTACGGACTGACATTTCTTTGTTGAAGAGTATCTTCTTTTCAATGTTCACCATCCTAACTATACTGTAGTAGATTATGGAATGATTTTTTATTGTCTTGTGTTAAAATGTACCTCATCGAGATGCGTTTATTTCTTTCAAATGCAGAATGATGCTCCAAGACTAAGCTGACTCAATGCTCAGTTTATTTAATGTTTCAATAAATTTTATCGCTTTGAATTTGGAGATATTTTTTGTAATATCTAATAACGTATGCATCTGTCATTTTCCCTCCAAAACTCTGCTTAGTTGAAGCTTTTTTGATAAATCAATTATCCTTGAAAAATGCAATTTGATCACAACTATTTTTCGCTTTTCTACTGTTCTGATGTATGTATGAAGGTTCATTTATACTACAAAATCCAGCTAAATTTATTTGTTTCATAATCCAATCTACAATTACCATATTTGTTCTTCAGTAGCTAATGCGTTAATGTATTATTCATATTCGAATCACACAGTGAATTACGGCAAACAGCTTGGTAAATAATCTTCTAGTCATTTGTTGAATAATGAAAAACTTTACACTAAGTTATCTGTTAGTTCATCAATTATATTTTATTTATCAGTTAAATAAAATTCATTCTTTCCAGTAACGTCCATAGTTTATTTATTTTTTACTATTATTTTAGTTCATTCTAAATTCATTGCTTCTATCTAGTCAACGGAGTCAGTAAATTACATATCAACTTGTCAAAGTTACCCTTTTCTCGTTCTCTAACGGAACCGATGTTTCAGTCAAAAAAGTCAATTTCTTTCCTACTATTGATCTTTTGCACAACAATTTACTGTCAGTTAACCATCTTTGACCCTGAAACCGGTAAACATTATCCAATATCAGATTCTTCTCGTGCACAAGACATTCCATTTCTATTGCCTGATCCTGATCCTAAAGAGTACCCTCCAGAATTCCTTAACTCCTTACTGAAACATTGTAATGATCCTATGCCTGGTTACGTTGAATTATTTTCAAAAGCTTGGATCGCTTTCAAAGAAATGGGTTTCAACTGGTCAAAACATTCAAACTCTCTCTTCTTTGTTCGTCGTATCATCGCTGCTATGCGTCCCTTACAAGTGTTTCATGCCATATTGACAGGTTTATTACTTACCTTACTTCGAGCTTATATTACAAGAAAACTTTTTATGGTGAGATTTTTCGATAATTTAATGCCTGTTCATTAGTTTACTGTGTACTCAAACGAGTGCACTGAATTTTTTAGAAACGTATTGAGTCCCTGATCGTTTCGCGCATCATCAGCCAGATGTGTGTAGTCTTTTTTCATTTAATAAAACTCGTACTAAGCCCAGTGACACTCTGAGTGTCAGATTTATTTGTCTCAGATTAAGTCCCAGTAATTTCGTATCCCGCTGCTGTACGTTTATTTTGTTGAGTCAAACTTTTTCAACTCATTCTAGTACTGTTTGACTCTAAGCCTAACGGTAGTTGGCAGCTGAGCACGCGTATGACATTGCTATTGGATTCATATTCTAGTAGAAATCACAATATTACACACATTTATTCCTGTTAAATATACTGAGTTCAATGAACACTGTTAGAAACTAGAGTCAGAAGCCATAGTTAATTATCCCAATTTAAAATAAAGTCTAATGTATACAAAGCTGCTAGAAATAATCCTTGTTAATATGATATCAACTTGTAGTTTGCTTGACAGTTTAGTGCACATCAGCTAATATTACCATATTAGTTGGTCGAAGTGGTCTCATAATAGAATGTATCAGTGTTTACATTCAGGCTTAAGCGAAGTTATGTATTACTTAAAATGACACAATATAATAACGCAACTTTAGGATTTAATTTGAGCATATACGAATAAGGTCAAATATCCATGTAATTAGATCCCTAACTACTGATTTATAAATTTATTATAATCTAAAAAAGCTATGAGCGATTCCTTGTTTGTTAGCGTGCACTCATATGAAGTATGATTGGGTAGTCAATATTTGATAAAACTAGATAAGCATATAATAGAAGACAGAACAATAAAATACCTGATATAGAGAATATTTACTAGAAAAGTAAACATTTCATAAAGTCATTTATTAAGACGTAAGTGATGTTATGGTAAGGGTTTGCATACATTATACTTCAGTCGTCATTGTTGGTTCGTACAGCACTTTGCCTAGAGGCTTGAGTTCTCAGTCTTATTTAGGTGAACTCAGTTTTGCACTAGTTAACTTTCCTACTTTCAGCGTGTGAAGCTTGTATATAGAATTGGTTAAACTGTAGATAATATTACACGCAATCATCCTAGGAAATCATTTGGCAAAACTTCATTAACTTATACGGGTATTTTTCATTCGTTTTACAGTACATTTTGCGCATACTATCCGGTTGTTCAAATCAAAATCATTAGTTTAGTCGAGAATGCATATATTATTTTCAGTATGACAGGTGCATTTTCCAATTTACTTAAGAAGTTATAAATTTCGACTTTTTTTAGAAACTTATTTCCAATGTCGGCGTAACTCCAGAAGTTTCTGGCAAACTCATCGAATCTAGTTGGAAAGGTTTTTGGTTCTTATGTATGTGGCTTTTTAGCCTGAAAGTCGTATTTTTCAGTGGCAGAACAGATTTCCAGTACCCCTTATGTGCCTTTCGTGATAACAAATTTACAGGTATGTCTCTTTTGAAATTAATTGTTTAACTAGATTTACGGTTTTCTGCCGATCACCTTCAACCAATCACCTTACATCACAGTGTTTGTCTAAACGAAGTATTGCGTAATATCATAAAACACCTAACAGTGTAGATACCTCACTGTGTAGCTTTTACTGTGTTCTGTTGAACAGACTGATCGATTCTCATAATTCAAAGTATATTGGAGAGCATCCCGATGGTTTGATTACTTTCACTTAATGAGCATAAATCTTCCTTAATGTTTGGACAATGGGACACGATGCGTCACACATACGACGGTTTATGAAATTGATCTGGAAAGTGGAAAAATTTCCTTATCATTAAAAGAGAGTACTTTTGCTTTACACTTCTTGTTGAAGATTTGATAATGAACTATTGTACACATCTAGTAAATTAAATCTCTGTTGAGAATGTTGACTGTGTATGAAATTGTTGGTGATGTTAGATCCCCAAAACTCCCCTTATAAATGCCTTATTTTGGATTTCACGTTTGCGAGCATGGGCTGATCAGTTGACCTTGAGATTTCATTTCTCACCGGGAAAATCCATGGCTGTGCTTGGCTGCTGTGTATTTTGGTGTGCTATTTTTGTGACTGTCCCAAGGACGTTTCTACGAAGTATAAATAAACGAGAGTTGTGTGCTTGATGGTATCGTGATTGCTGGGTGTTTGTAGAATATACTTTCTACGCTTACCAAGCCTTCTGGGATTCAAGGTAGCCTATTTGGACTCTGGTAATTGTCTCGTTCGCGTTTATCGACTAAGGTGAACTCGTAATAGCTTTAAGCGTACCTAGTGACGAACATAACAGAAATCTGTTGCGCTTATCATAGTTAAATCTTTAGACTCAAATTATATAAAACAGGTCTTCGGAATTTTCTTGTTACGACTATTTAATTAAATTCTATTTATAAATTTATCAAACTGAATTGTTCCTACTTTTTTTGGAAATTTATTTCAATAATCAAGTTTATTTGATTTTGAATTGCATTACATTGTTTTACGCATGTAATAATTGATCTGGTTTTATAAGTTGGTGAACTTGGATATATATCATTAGACCATAGACCTATAAAGTAATTTGGAGAATTGTATTAGTTATTATGTCCACGTATATTTCAATGCTTTTGAAAAGAATATACATTTATCACATGATATATAAAACTAATTTTCATATTTTCTTTTCTCTGAAATTGAATTTTTTTTTAATCAGTTGGCTACTTTGACATTCCAACTCCACCGGACTACTATTGGCTTTATACATTACAATTGGGCTTCTATCTACATTCATTATGGAGTGTATTTTTTATGGATTCATGGCGTAAAGATTCTGCTGTATTAGTTCTTCATCATTGTCTAACACTTCTACTTCTTGAAGCTTCACTATTGGTAAGGTAAGATAAATAGCATAATTCTTCTTCATAAAGTAATATGTGACTTTGTTGTTTCAATATGTCTTTAATAACTAACAAAAATAATTGAAATTGAACTTAGTAATTTTTGATCACAAGGTGTGCTTTTTTTCATGATTAACTTATGATCAATGGATTTTTATGATTTCAAACTGTATGAATTTAAGTGCAGTTTTAAAGCCAATAACCTTTTTTCTCTTTTTGCTCAATCGTTGATGTTTAATGTGGATCAATGCAAACTGATCAAAACCGGTTGTTTTTTTTGTAAACATTATTTTTTTTACACTATAATCCTATTTATGGTATTGTAAATCGAACACAATTTTTCTAACATCTCTTTATGCTGCCTGTATGGAATACAAAGAGTACTTATAGGTTTAAATAATAGGTTATGTAATTTGCTATTAATATTCGGAGAATTATGACGAAATCTCAGCTCGGATACAGAAGGCTCGATTGGCTTTTGCTAACCTGTGTCACCTATGGCGCAGGCGAGATATCCGTTTGCTAACCAAAGGATGAGTGTACTGTGCAGCAGTTCTCTCCGTCCTACTGTACGAATGCGAGACTTGGCCGTTAAGAGTAGAGGACTTTCGTAGGTTACTAGTCTTCGATCACCGATATCTCCGAAGCATTGCTCGTGTATCATGGGACAACCGTAAAAGCAATGCTGCCGTTAGGAAACAAGTTCTAGGTAGAGACGGCAAATCAATAGATGAAGTAGTGAAACTTCATCAGTTGAGGTGGTTGGGACATGTGTTACGTATGCCTAATCACCGACTGCCGCGACGAGCTATGTTTTGCAGTGTAGGAGTAGATTGGAAGAAACCTAGGGGCGGCCAAAACAAAACATGGCACAAATCCATGAAGTCACTGACAATGAGTCATGTTTGTAGATGTAGGCTATCTGGTCGGGGTCCGCGAGACGAAAGTCACCGATGGTTAGAGAGAAACCTTCAACGACATTGCTCAGAATCGTTTGCAACGGCGCAGGTGCATCCACTCGTTGTGTTCTCTCTAATTCTAACCTTCTGAATTCCTCATAATCTCTACCTTTCTCCTTCCAAATTTATCTTACTGAATTATACTTCCCAAATCAAATGTTCGCTCCCAAATCTTCTCCATTACTGCTAATACTTCTATTATTGCTATCACTCTTGGATTTGAATTGACAGTTGCGTCTGCCTGCTGATGGGGCATGGCAACGTGAACTGATGTACTTGTGTACGAAGTTCTGCGTTGTATCTGTGTGTCTGTCTATTCGGAGAATTAAGTCAGAATAATGAAAAGCATTGGCAAAAGATTTTTAAAAAAATTCATATTTAAACGTCAAATAATTTTTTAGAAAATCTTTAACAATTGAAAGTAGAAATCGGGAAACAATTTTTCAAGTTAAATGTTTCGGGAAAGAAATTGGAAAAGTGATCGCGTCAGTATGCAACTCAAATATTCTAATGCTTTTGGTTTATACTTTCACAAAACTATGTTTTGGTGTTCAAACTTGTAACCAAACTACTAAACGTCGAACATTGTAACTCATATACTATCAATCCGCCACGTGTAGATGAAATAACAGACAACATGTACTGCAAATAATCTTACCTCTTCTGATATCTTCAAATGCGGTCATGGAAACTCACATGTTTAAAGTTAAAATCGTCATGCGAGGTCATTCGTGACAATTACAAGAAATAGCTTCTAAATTTTCATCAAATGGTCAGATATTTATCATCGATCAATAATGTATGAGATAAATTAACTTCGATGTGTATAAACTTTAAAAATGAGTAGATGGGTTGCTTGATTTAGCATGCACCATGATGAACTAAACGGTAGATTTAAGCAGCACAAATCATTGTCGACTACCTTTAAAAATGAATCCCCTTGAATAAAGATTTATTTGAACAATTAATGCTTCGGTTACAGAATACGGTATTTCTTATTTCGGATCCTGACGGAACGAGTGGGGTATGAACCTATTGTTGGTCGTCGGCTACAATAAGACTGCATCTGTTTACGTTGCAGCACCACCTTGTGGATTAGATTTTCGGGTCACGGGTTTGGGATCTAACGCAGAAAGAAAACCACCTTTGGTTTGGTCATCCAGACAGAATCCTAACTCACAAATTCACTAATTTGTGTGGCGCGTAAATATATAGGTGCTCCTTTGTACCACTATTTACGCGTTTAAACAATGATGATTAAGGACTAGTTAGGAATAGCTGAGCAACTAGACTTTCAATTACTGGGTCATCGGTTTAAATTCTGTAGATGTTCGAGTCGAGAACAATAAACACCTCTATCAACTTATTACGTTCTCGTCTCAAGCGCCAACCCGGGTCTTGTTATATTAAAAATAAAGACCGCATAGTCCAGATGTAATAATATTTGCTAGCGATTCTATGGTATCGAAAGAATACCTAAATCGTGCCCGAAAAATTGAGTGAAAGGTACAGAGCAGCAAAAGCAGGATGGCGTTTGCGCGATACGGAAAGTTCAAATAAACAAAATGTTCGGTAAATAGTTCACTGATACAATTGGTTACAATAATGAATGTTTCTATTTAACCAATCGTGTTTTCTTTGTAAAAGTGAAATTACCACAATTCTACATTAAATTACTGAGTTTTGTTGGGTAGATGGTATCAGTAGTCTTTGCAGATACAGCTAAGTACTTAAACCTGGACTTGGTGTGACTGAGTTTCATCAAAGCAGTAGTATTGATGACTCTGTTATTAGAAAATAGCGTCTTGATCGAATTTTTTTTTCAACTTTATTCATTATCTATTCGTATGTGAGTTGTGAGTTTTTTTAGTGAATGTGTAACGCGAGTTAACACACGCTGAATAACAATTAAATTGAATAATTTAGGTTATATTGTTAAATACGAATATAATCAACACGACATCTCCGTTACCATTGTTTCTATTTTCAGTTCAATGGCGACATTATTTTATATTATTATGAGTGTGAAATTAAAGACCTCAATGAATTATTCACCTAAGAAGTATTTATATTCATAAGGAAATGGATTGTTTTTGAGTGTTGAACAAAGCGAAATCAGTTTTAAACTAGGATGTTTAAAAATTATTATGAATTGTGAGTCACTATTTCAAGCATTCAACTATGAAGGATCGTCTCACACTATTGCGAATCAGTTTCAGTTGGAAATTTTAACCGTTTGAAGTCAATTCAGTAGTCTAAAGGTTCATCACCGTCTGGGAGACCTGTAGGCTCTTAGTCCGATTCCCGATAGGGTCAAAGATATTCACTGCTAATAAATCCATACTAAGACTTAATGGCTGTTTAGTGCCTTTCGGTTTTTCGAAGTTTAACTAACTGAGATCAATCCTTGATATGAACTTTGAATTAAAAGTCGTCATAAACCTCGTGCAGTGCTCTATTTTCATCTCTAGTATCAATGTTGTCGACATTTTGCGCTTCGGTCTTCGAGTCAAAAGTTCCTCCTACCATTTCTCGATATTTTCTCAAAATCTATTTCTCTCCCCATTTTGTTTGTTTTCAATTTTGTTTCTCTAGAATTCATCGTACAGGTGTTTTAACTTTATTTCTACACGATATATGTGATGTATTTTTGGAATTCGGTAAAGTAAATGTTTATTTACGTATTCGACACGGAAAAACTTATTCTATTCACATGACTATTGCTAACATATTTTTTGCATTATTTGCTACATCATGGTAAGTAAATTTTGAAATTTTGAAAATTATAACTTTGTATATTATTTTATTAACGTTAGCTTTTTGAAGAGATTCTCAAAGTTTTAATGAGAAGCTGTAACCGGCAGAGTCGAACCCTGTCATGTGTGAGGCACTTATCCACAGAAGACAATGGGCAATGTCGTGTAATACTTTGAATTGGTTAAAGTTAAACTTTAACACCGATGGATGTCGACTCATTTGCCTAGAGGTCGTCCACGAGACCGACAGTCCTGGGTCCGATTCCCGTGTGTGGGGATCGTGGATGCGTACTCTGATGAATCTTGTATTAAGATGAAATGGCAGTCCAGTGATTTCAGGTTTCCGATGGTGATCTAACAATAGTTGATTCATGATTGTAATTATTTAATTACACCTTTATGTTTGAGGTAAATAGTTGACTTACACCAGGCATTTTTTGAACGTAGATGTAGTAAAATCTCTGCTGAATGTTCAGTAGGTTGGTTTATTTTCGCTGTTTGTTTATAACTTGTACCAAGTTTATGATCGTCATGAAACTTATATATTAAAGTTTGAACAAATGCTAATACAATGAACCGTATATAGCTCATGATAAAATATATTTGATTGTCATTGAAGTTTAATGACTAAAAATGCAAATTTCACATCAGATTTAACCCAACTCTTGAAGTTTGAAAATGTCAAAATGGCGATTGAGAAAAACCTTTCAAATTTTAAAGGGAGATTACGTTCTCCGATATTAGAAGTGTTTTTTTTTTGATGAGGAAATGAGCTCCGATTTTTTTCAGAGCTATATTCTTGTAACAGAAAATTAGGATTCATATTTTGACTCTATAAACTTATTAGTTTCCTCTTTGGAGTAAATCAGCTAGGTTAAACATACTCAGTGTTTACTTTTTATTTCTAGCCAAGTAATCAAAAGTTATTCCTTATCTCTAGAAGAATGCTACTTCGTCACCAACATGCTATTACCTTACTGTTTTGACCTTAGCTAAATTCTTTTAGAACTTGTTAAGTTTACTGCTGAGTCGCCATGTGGCTATCAGTCGGTTGCATTGTAGACTTATCTAGTCCTGACTGAATCATTTCAAACAACTGATCCAATCCCAACTTCTGTTGAATTGGATAGCAATTTACTTAAATCTCTGGACTACAAAGTTTTCAAATGTCTAAATATTGAAACTTTTCTTACTTTCCTTTTAACTGTAAGAATTAATATCACCTATTTATGAGGAATTTGTTAAACAGCGTTAATGTGACCGGATCGATACTTTATCAACTTAAGTATACTAAACCATCTCTCTTCTAATCATACTTTTGGCTATCCATAGATTACGAGAATTTTTAAAATATAATGAGTTATATTTCAATATTCAAATCGTTGTCTTTATTTTGTGAACATTAATTTCCTTTGTTCTGATTATAATTGAATTCATTTAAATATATATATATATATATATATATATATATATATATTACATGAATTCAGATTACATTGCTTTTTCTTGTTCACAGGGTTGTTTTACGACTTTATTTGTTTCCATTGAAAGTTTTGTACTCTACTTCATGGGGAGCTTATATTTCTTTAGTTGGTCGAGAAAATCGTGGTTTTCTATTCTTTAATTTATTGTTATGGAGTTTATTTGTCATGCATATCTATTGGTTTACGGTATGTTATTCTTGTATTGTTGTTTTTTTTCATAGTCTATTACTGTTTTGTTACCTGGTTGCACAATTGTTTCCTAGAGATATTCACTTCGATTAGATACTTTGTAATATAGTTTTAATTTATACCTACCATGTAGTTTTATTATTGAAAGTATGGAATCATCTTTATTAAGATCTATACTGATTTATAACAAATGCTGTTTATGTACTACTATTATTGTTTTTACTTTAGTAGTCTACTGACACATACAATTGGATTCCAATTATTCGTTTTAAAATAAATACAGTGATTCATCAATTCACATACTGTTAGTGAGGTTTGACTCTAAACAAGTGATGTGTAGAAGCAAAGTTCAGTGGAATGAAGAGTTCGGAATTTTTAGGTACTTCATGGCTCTAATTAAAGTATTCATCTTTCAAGCATTAGAACATAGGTTTGAGCCCTACTGCACCTACTTCTGTCTAAGCAGCAGAGCACTATTACTAGCGGTTATACAAGTTGTGATTTAAACCCGAATCAATAAAAAAACTTTATTCGATGAATAAGTTTCAAGGCATAAGATTAACAAATACAGTTATTTACTGTTTGAAATACTTGGATTTGAGCTGTGTTCGTGGGTGCAGACTATCTAATTAGGGTCTGTGGGATGGTTGTGAGCAATATGGCTCAGAATTGATCACCATGGCACAGGTCCATTCACATTGCTTCTTGAGTTTTTCAAATTAGTTCACACCATTTTCTCGACAAATTTATGGTTGTCGAATCATATAATCAACTCCAAAAGTTCTCTATTACCACTGATATTGTTACTATCTGTACTACTGTGGCATTTGTCTTAATAACCTAATCATGTTATGTTGTTATGATGTGGTAATGTGAATCGATAAACGTAAATGGCTTTCTGAAGGTCTGATGCTAATAGGAAGCGGAAAGGTTAAACTGTGTAGTTCGAAATATTAATGACAAAGCAGACAATCAATGAATCTTCCCTATTCCATTTCTCTATTGGCTTAGTTTCTGTCGGGATATACGGTGTTTATTAAAAATTTGTTTTATTTAACGCAAAAATTCCTACTTATTGGACTATTTCGTTTTGTTCACGTATATTATGACTGGTGTAATTCAAATTTATATCATTTCTTACTTATCTATATTGTGAATTTTTCTCCTCTCTTCCCATTTTCCTTTAGTTCATTGTACGAATGGCTATTCGACTATTAACAAGTCCATTAGAAGCATGTGAAGATATACGTGAAGATGATTCAATTGCAAAAGTTGATAATCTAAATTGTTGTAATCATAAAATTTCCAGTGAAACAATTCTAAACAATAATCATAATCATATCATCACTACAAATACTACTGATGATATTACTGACAAATCGTATATTGTTAAACAGATTAAACGAATAGATAGTAATCATACTAATCATATTGATAAATCCTTGGCAAATGGAAATACATGCATATCAAATAAGTGCAATTAAATTTTTTTTTAAAAAATGGATATTTATTATAGACAATTTAATAGGATGAATTTGTACATAGAAACATATACGTATCTACAAGGAAAACTATTATTTTGAATAATATAATATACACTAACTCTCCTTACATAACTTATGAACCAATTCGATGAAATACGTTTGTTGTTTTCAACTGTGTTATTTATCCAATGCTTATTTTCTGTGCTCTTTGCTTTATTTTAATATTCTATGCACATATCCATTCTCTGAGTATAAATTAATTTTCTAAAAAAAAGATTCAAGTTTTCTTTTTCAGTTTTGTATATTTTTAATTGTCTGTTTGTTTATTTTTTGGACAAAAACTATCATTTCACACTATACATTGATTGATTTGTTCACAATGTGATAGGTACACACACACACACACCCATACATATATACTTATTTTGGTTAATTATGAACCAACATTTTTTTTAAAAAAAAATTTCGACTATTTCCATACGGGACTTTTCGTATATTTCAAATTCAAATATCACTATTTATTATAACAATGAAGTGATGTTCTAACATTATTGATCATATTGACATATGATCAAAAAAAAATCTTTTTTCGTTTTGTTTGTTTCCCAAGATAAAAAAAAACTTACATTATCTTTATAAAAACCAGATATAATTGTTATTTGTTATTTTGTCTTTCTGTGATGTTTTTTCTTTTATGTCGAGACATATCTGCATGATTCATGTGTATATGTATACACACTTACTCTCAAATGGAAGTTCAATAATCTTTAAACGGTATAGTCACTATTATTGTGTAGTAAAAAAAATGATAAAACTGAGATTGAGGTAAAACAAAAAGAACAACCAGTTTGTACTTCACTGCTTCCTCCTCTATTGTCCAACTGTGAAGTAGGTTAGTTAATAAAATACCTCCCTTTCTCTTTCCACTTAATCTCCATCTATTGAATGATACATAATGATAGTATCAATATTCTCTGTTTGTTTGTTTGTTTTTTAATGTATAATTTTGGCCTTCTACTATTTTCATCATTTCTACTTTTATTATACTTTTGGAAGGTTTTTGTCTTTGATTTTTCTTTTTGGATTGTTGTTCACACCTTTTTGTATTGTGATAAAACAAAAACTTGAATTAATGATATCTAAATGAAAAGAAATTCACTAGAAATAATAGTATTGTTTTATTTTATTTTGTCATTAGCCAAGTGTTTAAGAGTGTTCATTCAACCTTCTACCAACTAATCTTGTGATCCAAAGCCTGATCCATCAACTTTGGTATTGGCAACCTGAGCGCATACCTAGAAGTCTGATGTATAAGTTAATTAAAACAAGAATTTTAAATGTTTCATTCGTTCGCAATAAACTGTTTGTTAGTTATGTGAATTTTTCAAGGTTTTACTGAACCAGTGGGGAACTTAGTCTTCGGCTAATATAATAGAATGTTGTGGACATCATATGGATTTGAAAAATGCGACTGAATGATGTTTGATCACGAAGGCTGAGTGGTCGAAAAAAGGACTCAAATGAATATGTATTGATGATCAAACAGTTTATCGTAGTAGATAATGATTTTCTGTTGCGAAATGACTAAGTTGTGCATATAATAACTGACACGAAAATATGATTACTTACTTACTTACTACGCCTGTTACCCCTAATGGAGCATAGGCCGCCAACCAGTCTTCTCCAACCAACTCTGTCCTGGGCTTCCCTCTCCAGTTCTGTCCAATGTTTGTTCATTCCTCTCATATCTTTCTCTATTTCTCGGCGTAATGTGTTCCTTGGCCTTCCTCTTTTCCTTTGACCTTCAGGGTTCCATGTGAGGGTTTGTATCGTGACGCAGTTAGGTGCTTTTCGTAATGTGTGTCCTGTCCACTTCCACCAATTCTGCCTGATTTCCTCCTCCACTGGAATCTGGTTTGTTCTCTCCCACAGTACGTTGTTGCTGATGGTGTCTGACCAACGAATCCGAAGTATTTTGCGAAGACAACTGTTAATAAACACTTGTATATTCTGGATGATGGTTTTCGTAGTTCTCCATGTTTCCGCTCCATACAGTAGAACTGTCTTGACATTTGTATTGAAAATCATGATTTTGGTTTTGGTTGAATGTTATTTGTAGTTCCAGATATTTTTCAAATGTAGAAATGTATCCCTTGCTTTGCCGATCCGCACCCTCACATCTGCATCGGATCCATCTTGGTTGAAAAATATGCTTTCCAGATATGTAAGGGTGTTAACGTCCTCTCCGGTTTGCCCATCAAGGGTGACTTGGTTGGCGCATGTTGTGTTGCATCGGAGAATTTTGCTTTTTCCTTTACATATGTTGAGACCTACTGCTGCAGAGGTTGCTGCTACACTGGTCGTCTTCTCTTGCATTTGTTGTTGCGTGTGCGATAGAAGAGCCAGGTCATCTGAGAAGTCCAGATCGTCCAGCTGCGTCCTAACTGTTCAGTTGATACCGTGCTTCCCTCCAGATGTCGACGTCTTAATAATCCAGTCGATCACCAGGAGAAAGAGAAAGGGTGAGAGTAAGCAACTTTTCCTGACACCGGTCTTCACCTCAAACGAGTTTGTCAGCTGACCTCCGTGCACGATTTTGCAGTTGAATCCATCATCACGCTATCGAATGCTTTCTCGTAGTCGATGAAGTTGATGTAGAGTGGTGAGTTCCATTCAATTGATTGTTCCACAATGATCTGAAATGTTGCAATTTGGTCGGTACATGATCGACCATTATGAAATCCAGCCTGTTGATCTCGAAGTTGAGCGTCTACGAAGTCCTTCATTCTGTTTAACAATACCCTGTTGAAAACTTTGCCTGGTATTGAAAAAAGAGTGATGCCACTGTAGTTCTCACACTTGCTGAGATCTCCTTTCTTTGGTATTTCGATCAGGTATCCTTCTTTCCAATCTGATGGTACTTGTTCCTCATCCCAAATCTTCTTGAAGAGGATGTGAAATATTTTCGCAGTTGCTTCTACATCTGCTTTCATTGCCTCTGCTTGAATGTTGTCTGGTCCTTCTGCTTTGCCGCTCTTGATTTTTCTGATGGCCATACTGATCTCCTCAATAGTACGTGCCCCAACATCAATTGGGAGGTCCGTAGATGCTGCTTCGATGTTGGGTGTGTTCAATGGAGCTGGTCGATTCAAGACTTCTTTCAAGTGCTCTACCCACCTATTTCGCTGTTCTTCAGTGTTGCTGATAACTTTGCCTTCCTTACTTTTCACTGGTCGTTCTGGTTTACGATAGTTTCCGGGGAGCTTCTTTGTTGTTTCATACAATTGCCTCAAGTTTCCGTCTCTTGAAGCCTTTTCCGCCGTCGTAGCTAGATCTTCCATATATTTTCGTTTGTCAGCTCTGATTCTCTTCTTCACTTCCCTGTTTGCTTCTTGTGCAGTTTTTTTGCAGCATGTGCCCTAACTTTCTCTGCTCTTGTTCGGTTGACATTGATTGCTGCCTGCTTGTTCCTCCTTTCTTGAATTTTTTCAAGAGTACCAACAGAGATCCAATCCTTGTGATGGTGTTTCTTATTACCCAGAACCTTGTGACATGTTGAAGTGATTGCCTCTTTTATCCCTTTCCAATTTTTCTCGAAGGTTGTTTTCTCTCCACTGAGTCCTGGAACTTATTGCTTATTGAATTCGTTGAGTTTTACGGTATCCCGAAGAAAGACCGTATTAAACTTCTGTGATGCATTATCATAAATGTTACACATTCATCAGCCTATTGAAATTATGACTTGACCATATGATCAGATTTTTCGAGCGATATATCATGGCTCTTGTGATATTGTTAAGTAACTCTAACCTGTAGTATAACAACACTGGATTTTTAGCATAATAGCTGCTAGAATTATTCCAAGTGAATCTAAACAAAACTATTTAAATAACGCTTTTGTTGAAGAATAGAACAGATTTTGTATATTTCACTAGTTTTTCATCACATATAAGGCGATGATTGCTAATCAATAGGTCAAAATCATTACCATAACTTCATTAGAATCTACAGTTGTGAATTGAGAATTAGCGTTGTATTAAACCGGACTGAATATTAAACTTGAACTAATCAGTGCTATAAACCAAAAACAAAACAAGGCAAATTCCACAACAAATGGATGATTTCAAATGCTTCAACTAATGGCTAACAAAATAAAACAATGTAATTAGTAAGGTTGAATAAAGGTCATAAACCACAGTGATCTGAAGATCTATACGCCTTAATTAAGGTTATGAATTCTAATCAATAATTTGAAAGTGTATGTAAACACAAGTCAATACACAGTAGGGATTGTTGAGTTAAAGCTGATGGCTTAACAATAATCATAATAATAATCATATAATAAGGACAATAAAAGAACATGATACAAAATCAGAAAGATGAATGGACAATGAAGGATAAAGAAAATGTCCTATAAGGGGTTGCAATTCATAATGATGGGGAAAGGGACGAAATTTGAAGTATGAGGTAAACAAGATGAATGTGGGCCAAAGTGAATAAATAAGTTGTATTTAGATGCTCTATCTACGAAAGTTAGGTATATTTGAACTGGTGTTAATTACTTGAATTATATAGAGTGAGCATACTCTTGCATACAAGGAACTTGGTATATAATCTTGTGTCTAAAATGACCCTATCAAGAGATTTCTTAACTCCTTTTCTTAACCATGCCGGTGCATATGACAATAATAATTTCGGTTTTATAACTGTAGAACCTCATAAAAAAGTTATCGAGAGGTATTGTTCTCATTAATACTGTATTCTTTATTTATTCCGTTGAAGAACCAGAGGGAAGATGCTCATAACTCATCTTTATCTACTGCTAAACATTAAGTTCACAGGACTAATCTTCGCACATCCTTTGCGGTATATAATAGTGATGTGAGGAAAATTGAAGATTTGTTTTAGCCTTAACTTGTCTCTTGTCTGTTCAAATACATTTTGAACTTATATGAAACTTACCTACATAAGGATGATATTAATATTTTGTTTTAATAAACGCTACGATATAATCCAGTATTTTTTTCAATAATTTATTTTCTTATCTTGAAAATGTTCTAGCTTAACCTTTTGCCTGTGTGTATTTTTACACGTGAATGTGTAATGAAACTATTTGAAATTGGGTGCACAGAGTTTTGTTTTGATCAACTTCATTTTTTTGTATTCAATTATTCAAGTTTTTGCAATATTTGTCCAATGATTGATTTGTATGATTGATTAATTTAACAGTCTTTTATTTAATACCTTGAACTTATTTCATGTAATCAATTTCAAGTAATCAATAATCTGTACCGTATTACATACATAAAGTAATTAAAACTTTGTCAATCAATTAATTATTCAATTTTGTGGTATTCCTTGTTGTTGTGTCTTTTTTTTTAAAACTTTCTTTCTCTCTCTCTCTCAGTTGATTAAATCATGAAATTTTCTAATCTCGCCATATTCAAGGGTCATATTTATCGCTGACAGAAACCATAAAACAATCACAGTATTAAGTTGTGGGTCAAGTTGTTCATTGAATTATTTTTTTGTCAACATTTATCTAATATGATTAGTTAGTCATAATATGAGTAGTTAATTACATTCACCTGTAAATCCTAGTGGAGCATAGGCTGACGACCAGTATTCTCCAGTTTACTCTGTCCTGTGCCTTCCTCTATAGTTTGTTCAATCGTTCTTCATCTTCTAATGTCTGTCTACATATCTCGGCGTAGTGTATTCTTTGGCCTTCCTCTTTTCCTTTGACCTGGAGGGTTTCAAATGAGGGCTTGTCTTGTGACGCAGTTGGGTGGTTTCCTCAATGTGTATCCTAATCACTTCCACTGCTCCTTCTGAAAACCTGATTGGTTCTCTCCACAGTAGTTTGTTGCTGATGGTGTCTGGCTAACGTAGCGCAGACACGGTTACATAAATTAATGGTGGCTCTGGTTGTCGGAAGGGACATCGGGCTTGTGATTTCTGAAGGAACTTAGTGTTTATCATGAGACGTCACAACTCTTCTAAATGATGACCCTCTGAATCCCAAGGCAGAGTTTAGGTGATCTGAATGATTTTTACTCAGAGTTTTTTTAGCGAGTTAGTTTTCTACGGGATTGGGTCATTAACCCTATGCCCAACTCTCCTCCTTTATACGGGCTTGGGGCCTGCAGTAGCTTCAGAGGGGCTCCAGGCTGAGCTATAATATGCATAGGACCTGGCACATATGCTCATCCTGACAAATTATTGCATTCTATCATTATTGTGAGACTGAAATAATAGTAAATAAATTTCACTAGAAGTAGTGTGTATGATCTTGACTCAACCGAGGGAATATATATCAATAATAAAAAACAGATTTGTTAAAATAAAGTGCATTA